GCATTTTATGGACGACCGTTTCGTGAACCTAGGAGAGGAGGTAATTCTGACTTTGCTATGACAATCTGGCGCTTCTGAATCAGCTACTGTTTTGTTATTAGTTTAAGTATTTGCTATTGACTGTTCAAATGCGGAGTTTTGCGCATCATGTATGTGTGTGTGCGCGCGCGCGTGAGAGAGAGAGAGAGAGAGAGACAGGGTCACATCAAAGTGGAGTCAGCTGTCTTAACCGTAAGATTGAATTTGGTCGTGAACCCTTTCCCACATTTTGTGCAAGTGTAGGGTTTTTCTCCCGTGTGACTTCGCAGATGCATGTCTAGAGTGCATTTCTGAATAAAGCCTTTTCCACAGAGCGAACATCGATATGGCTTCTCTCCAGTATGGGTGCGCTGATGGGTGTACAGGTGTCCTTTCTGAATGTAGCTCTTTCCACAAAGCGTGCACCTGTATGGCTTCTCACCTGTGTGACTCCGCTGATGTATTGTAAGTTGACTAAAACACCTGAACCTCTTCGAACAGTAGGAGCAAACAAAACGCTTATCCCCTGAAATAGTGTTGGCACTGGATGTTCTTGCGGAGTGTGATGCACTCAAACTCTGTGTGTGACTGAAAGAAGTGTTTGGATCACCGTTTGCCACAGTCTGGTTCACTGTGATTGTTCCAGGTGAGACTTTTGGTGATTCTGCTTTAGATGGGACTCTTTCGGTTGTGTTTTCTCTATTTCCTCTGTCAACACAAGGAACAGTTTTGAGAGCATCCTTGATGGGTGACAGGCTCACAGCTTCACCACATTGGGTTCCTGTGGTTAAGTGAAAGTAATGTAAGTGGAAGGAAGTCATAAATTATTTAAAAACACTGGCAATTAAAATTTTCCACCATTATAGAACAGTTAGTTCCAGACTTACGTGCTTCACTGTTGTCTTGACCAATCCAAACATCTACTTCCTGTTGCTCCTGCTTTACCATACTAATTGGCTGGTTTACCTCACACTTCTGCTGTGGACTGTCCTTTGACATTGTGACATTACATTATATCTTATATTTGTATAAAATATATAGAAACATTATGTTTTCAACAGCTCTTGTGCTTACAAATATTTAAAGGCAATTAATATGGATATTTACAGAGAGAAGAGAACTTGCTTGGTCTTGCTGAATTACTGTTGGGATGTCTCCTGTTGGGCCTCTACACCTGTTCAAACGATTGTGCATCTCCTCTTGGTCACATTCACTAGAAAAATAATATTTAAAAAGTGTTATACACTAGTGGTCAAAACTTTGGAATAATTAATATTTTTGAACATATTTGAAAGAAGTCTCTTATGCTCAGTACGGCTGCATTTATTTGAGCAAAAATACAGTAGAAACAGTAATATTGTGAAAAAATATTAAAATTTTAAATAAATGTTTTCTATTTGAATATATTTTAAAATGTAGTTTATTCCTGTGATGCAAAGCTGAATTTTCAGCATCATTACTCCAGTCTTCAGTGTCACATGATCCTTCAGAAATCATGCTAAAATGCTGATTTGCTGCTCGAGAAACATTTCTTATTATAAAGTTCAAAAGAACAGCATTTATTTTAAATATAATAATTTTTTTAGCATCATAAATGTCTTTACTATCACTTCTGAACAATTTAATGCATCCTGGCTTACGGAGTATACATTTCTTTAAAAAAATCTTTCTTACCCCAAACCTTTAAATGGAAATGTATCACGGTTTTCACAAAAAAATATTAAGACGCACAACTGTTGTCAACATTGATAATAATAATAAATGTTTCTTGAGCAGCAAATCAGCATATTAGAATGATTTCTGAAGGATCATATGATACTGAAGACTGGAGTAATGATGCTGAAAATTCAGCTTTGATTACAGGAATGAATTACATTTTAAAATATATTAAAACAGAAAAAAAACAATTATAAGTTGCAATAATATTTCACAATATTACCGTTTTTGCTGTATTTTTGATCAAATAAATGCAGCCTTGGTGAGCATAAGAGACGTCTTTCAAAAACATTAAAAAATCTTAACTATTCCAAACGGTAGTGTATAAATTAAATTAGTATGGTTCATTGACTTCACTGTGGACATTATTCAGCATGGCTTCATATGTTATGAGACTGCATAGAGTTGCACATATACTATGTTAAATATACAGTTGCATATATGTGTGTCATAAAGTATATGCAATTCCATGCTAAATAAACACCAAAGAAAAGTGGACCTACCTCTTAACACATGTGAGACTCTCTGTCAGTGTTTGTCCAGTGCTCGTCCACAACTGGACCTCCATCATCCTCAGTCTCTTCCTCAGTGCGCTGATTTCACTGCGGCTGCGGGTGACCTCCGACAACAACACTTCACACTCCACATCCACGAGTTTGCTTATCTCTAATACAGCTGTTTGCACAAGTGTTTCCATGATGGACGCTAACTGAGTCTGAAAAGAGGAGAGAGTGGACACCATCTCCCAATATTTCCACAAACTATCGAAAGGAAGTCACAAACTTTTTTTTTTTTTACAGGTATACAAAATCAACGGCTATCTATATACTTTATCTAGTTGTATATTTTAACGTAATAATATTAAATAAATTTTTTCTACAGTTTTCATCTTTCAGCAACGGTTCCCTCTCCTACTATCTCTTGTACGTGTAACTCAGTGTGAATGATTTACCCAAAATATGGCCCACCAACGCCATCTATTGAAATGGAGCTGTTTGAGTGCGAGCCACATGGTGAATTTCATATTCACAAAACCAGACTAATATGTTATAAATCTAATTTTCGATTATTTACTGCTGATATAACGTATTTTTGCGTCCATAGACAAAATGTCTCGGCTCCCAAAACATATAATAGTCACAGATAAACTGCAATTCTTTTCCATACATATTGTGACAATGCTGTATAATGGTCACTGCATAATGAAATGTGCGTGCTTCAATACTCCAAAGTAAAACTAATCGACAAGATCCAACTTGAGACTCCGAGGCCCTGAAATCCACTGAATATTTAGAAACGGGGCTTGAATCAATTGAGCACTACATTACCCAGAATGCAACAGTAGACTCTAGAGTAGGCAGCGTTCGCTGCGATTGGACGTTGGTCAGGTCGCAAGAGGAGCACGTAAAGGAAATCTCACTAGTAAGAAAACATTCCACGGTGAGTGCAAAATAATTTCGTAGTTTTTACAGCTACCATAAGTGTAAAAGCACGAAGCATCATTTTGACGTGTTATTATTGCATAGTGCACTTAAACTATGGCTCACATTTTGGTTCAATACTTGCTTGATTCATTTGACTCAAACCTGCACTGCTCAATCCAATGAAACAGTGCACATTGTTCACAGCACCTGTATTGCAGAGGGCAGATGACTTATTTATTGTTTCCTTTTTCTGGTCATGCTAATACAGTTGGGTGCATGTATTGAGTTCTGCTCTGTCGGTTGACTTAAGCATTGCTTCATATTTAAACTGATTGGCATAATCATAGCCTCTGTTTATTTCAGGGAGTGATGTCTGGACCAAGAGTGGTGGTTTTCCCCTCAGTGGCCGAGCTTGGATCCACTCTGGCCCAGCTGGTGTCCTCTCGAGCAGAGAAAGCTCTCGGCACAGGTGAAAGCTTCTCCCTGGGCCTTTCAGGAGGGAGTTTGGTGTCCATCCTGAGTAAGGAGCTGCCTGCTGTCCCGAGCCTAGACTGCAGCAGATGGCTCATTGGGTTCTGCGATGAGAGACTCGTTCCATTCAGTGATCCTGAGAGCACTTATGGCTTATATAAGGTAACTCGGTGCATATTAGAAAGAGTGGCAGTCTTTTACTCTTACTAGAAAACCTGTAGAGCTAATCAAGTCAATTCATAGTTTTCAGTCACATGACACAGAGACCTGGAGGTAAAACATCTGTAGAACTGCAGCACAGGCATGTCAATTTTTGTTTCAGGTCACAAATATTTAGATCACCCCTCAAAATAATTGAGTCAAAGATATGTGAACAAACTGCAAGTTTAGGCCACTTGCAATCCATATACAGCACCTCCCGAGTAGTTAATTCACTAAAAACAGAGGGACATTCTAAAACAAATAGTTCACCCAAAAATGAAACTTTACTCACCCTCAGACCATCCTAGATGTAGGTAAGTTTGTTTCTTCATGGGAACAGATTTGGAGAAATTTAGCATTACATCACTTGCTCACCAATGGATCCTCAGCAGTGAATGAGTGCCGTCAGACCAAACAGCTGATAAAAACATCACAATAATCCACACAAATCCAGTCCATCAATTAACATTTTGTTTCTGGCTAAAATATGAGTCCTATCCTATATTGCTTTCTCTAGTGAAAAATCTCATCTGAATCAGGAGAGAAATATGCACAGATCATGCATAAGTGAAAACAGTTCTAAACTGATATGTCGGTAGATTTTATTTTGAGAGGGCATTAATGGATGGATTTTACTGGAGGAAGTGCTATTATAGATATTAAAAGATCAAATTTCAATATACACCTTATTGATGATACATGCTATATACAGGCAAGCAGATGAGCTCAGAATATTTACACAATGTTAAGCGTTTTCTTTATAATAGTTTTATATGGGAAAACACTTAAACCTTGCATTCATATTATGTGTTCATCTGTTTGTACTTAGTATGTTTTATTAATAAGATGTATAATGGATTTGGTCCTCCCATATCACTGTCTTGAAGCATCAAGCCACACTAAGCATTTTGTCTATAATGACTTTCTATGGGAAAATGTTGCATTCATATTCTTGATGCATTTGCTTGCCTTTATTGGGTCTTTTAATATCACTGTATTTAGTACAAACCCGGTAAAAGCAGAGAAAGACCTTGCCTTGCTTTCCAGGTGGGCATTTCTATAAGGGTGTGATCATGTCATGTGAAAACTGAGATTACTGATAGCTTTTTATATCCTACAGAATCAATTGTTTGAGAAAATCAACATTCCAGAAGATAGGATTTTGGCTATAGATCCTTCTTTACCGGTGCAAGAATGTGCTGATGACTATGCTGGCAAACTGAGCAAGGTGCGATTTCGTTTTCTAGACATTACATAAAACACATTTGATTTTTGTTTTTCTATTTCATAGCCCTTAATAGAATTTTGTCATTGCAGGCTTTTAACACGGAGCAAATTCCAGTTTTTGACATGCTGTTGCTGGGAATGGGACCAGATGGACACACCTGCTCTCTCTTTCCAGATCATCCTTTATTACAGGTTTCAGATAAATTCTTAATGAAGCAGCAATATAACATCTACTTTTAGTTTACCATATATCCCACTTATTACAGAATCCTATTGATTCTCCTATTGACTCTTTATCTGTTTTAAAATGGATTTGTGTTTAAGTATGTGTGTGTAAGTAAAAATGTGATTTTGTAGGAAAGCCAGAGGACAGTGGCACCCATCTCTGATTCCCCCAAACCACCGCCTCAGCGTGTAACTATGACATTACCCACGGTTAACGCTGCTCGATGTGTAGTGTTTGTGTCAACTGGGGGCAGCAAAGCTCCTGTACTCAAGGTAAGCACTTTCTGTTGTGTCTATATTTATAATTGTGAATGTTATATTTTTGTTTTATTAGTTTAATATTCTTACTGTTTCAGTTTTGATTCTGTAATTTTGTAGCAAGTATTGGAGGGTGGAGAAGGCCCTGCACTTCCAGCAGCTCTGGTCGCACCTAGACAGGGAGAACTCTTCTGGCTAGTGGATGAGCCAGCAGCTGCCTCCCTCACGTCTCAGGTGGAGAGGCCAGGTCCTGGGGCAAAACTCTGAACATAGGAGAGAGAACTTGTGGAAGCACGGTCTAGTTTTCCTATGGAGTTCTTAATAAGCCCTATGTTTGCAAAGATTTTTTCTTCACAGCACTTAAGAAAATTTTCATTATCATTGCTAATTACTGCAGTTATTGTTACTACTGTAAAACTATTATAGGCTCTATGAAGCTTTCAGAATTTTTCTTTTTTTTTTTTAAATAAGACTATTCACTAATACTACGCTACCATAGCTTTATTATAACAACAATGACTGTTGAATCTATGGTATTTTGATGAAATACCATGGTTACCTTTGTAAATTTTTGTTAGATGCAATCTGAATCTGTTATTTAAAAATTGCCCAAAAAACGGAATAAAATTTTAAGAGGTTAATATCCGTTCTGCACTTTTCCATTTTGGTTGTATTTCATGCATTGTGTCTTATGGAAGCCCATTTTCACCATTAATAATTGCGACTTTTTTTCTCGCAATTCTAAGAAAAAAATCTCAGAACTGTGATATATAAATTCAGAATTGTGAGATATAAACAACGAGTTTACATCTCACAGTTCTGTTTTTTTTCACCATGGAGTATAAAATAATAATAATTGCTACTTTTTATCTCAACAATTGCAAGTTTATATCTCACATTTCCAACTTTATTCCTCAGAATTGCGAGAAAAATGACTGAATTGTGAGATGAAAAGTCAATTTAAATAATAATAAAAATAATAATCCTGTGGCTGAAACAGGCTGAAACACTGTTAATTTTTATTTATTTATATTAGAATATATGGAATTTTTCTACTTCAAAATTTCATGTTTAACCCAGTGTGATACTTGCTGTTTCTTTGCAATTATTTGTGAAATTTACTAGCAATTTATGAGTAAAAATGGTCTCGAAATCCTACACTTTTTTTTTTTTCCCCTCAGTGTATAGTTTCTGGTGTACAGGAAAAAAGCGTATGTATATGGTGCTATATACAGGGTTATTACTGTTAACTAAAAATACAAGCACAAAAACATTTTTACTAACTAAATATAAAACCTTAAAATAATATAACTTTCCTAATCTGCTAGATATATTTTAAAGACAAATAATGACTTGAAATCTTAATATTAATTACTCATCAGTGCTCTCAGTTTGCAGATTTACCAGAATGCATCCCTCCCCTTTAAACGTCAGCGAAACATCCCCTTTAACTCGCTCGTCTCACACAAACTGCAGCGTTGTCAATGCATGCTGATTTTGGTCGGCGGAATTATTTAAACTAAAGTTACCCGTTTTTAACTTTCTACCTCCTCATGAACTGGATGTAATTGTGTGGTTTAGCTTTAAGAGCTTATATTCCTGGTTGTAAAGAGTGTGTGCTGTACAATGCTCTGGTTCGTGTTGTTCGTGTCGGTGCTGTGGTCCTGTCTGATGAATACTGGACCAGCTCAAGGATACTTCCATGAAGAGCGCTGGAGCCCGGAGTCTCCTATATTAGCTCCCCGAGTAATGATCGCTCTGATCTGCCGTAACGCCCAGCACTCGCTGCCACATTTCCTCGGGACCATTGAGCGCCTCAATTACCCTAAAGACCGAATCGCGCTGTGGTAAGTGAGTGCGTGTAAATAGTACTTATTTTTCCATTACTTATAAGTATTCCAATAGTGACTAGTACTTATTAGTAGTACTTAATGGCGTACTAGTCACTTTCCCCAACATTTCCTTCACTGTTACTAGTAACAAACTGCACATCCGTGTAGTGTTTTCCCATTTATTGTAACTATTCCAGTTAAATAATTCGTTAATAGATAGGGTACTATTTATATATAGTTACAGTAACTATATATTTCAGCTGTACTCACTCTAAAAAAATGCTCTGTTATTTCAACCCAATTTAGGTCAAATATGGACTAACCCAGCTTTTGGGTTACATTTTTAGATTAAATTTTTAACCCAAAAGTTGGGTTGAAACAACCCAGCATTTTTTAAATAGGCCTACCCGTATCTTTTTTCCAGACACTAGTATCCCATTTGTTACTTGAATCATTTCTTGTGGCACTACTTTCAATTGCTTTTTGGACTAGGGTTTCATTCTTGGTGTCTGTGAACATCTGTCTTCCAGCAACTCAATGCTCTGGAGGGCAAATTTAAGAAGAAAAAAATGGGATGGGAGGAGTTTCTCCATTCTCACTGCGTCCTTCTCATATCTGCCAGCTTTACTCAAATTTTCCCTTACACTCTAAAAAAATGCTGGGTTAAATACAACCCAGTGCTGGGTAAAATAAGGACAAACCCAACAATTGGGCTGTTTTGACCCAGCGGTTGGGTTACTACCCAGAAGGTTGGGTTAAACATTTACCCCAACCGCTGGGTCAAAACAGCCTAATTGCTGGGTTTGTCCCTATTTTACCCAGCACTGGGTTGTATTTAACCCAGCATTTTTTAGAGTGTAAAGTTGTCATTGTCCTAACCAGTGAATGAAGAGCTCTGTTGTGAAGGTGTCAGTTACCACGAACGCTCTGAAGCTTGCCATAGTCATGCCCAAGAGATAGTCTAGACATTGTCTCTGCACCTAAATTAATGTAAAACTGAGACTATTGTTTTTGCGCCCTCCAATGCATCTGGGTCCACTAATATTTTTTAGGCCCTTTATTTATTTATGGTAAATCCATGGTTAAATATGTAGGTGTAATTTTTGATGACTCCTTGAAATTTGACAAACAGATTAATGGTGTTGTCAGATCTGTTTTCTTTTTTTTTTTTTTTCAGTTAAGAACATTCGCAAAGGTCAAGCGGTTTTTATCCTGTTGTGATTTTGAAAGGGTGATGCATGCTTTTGTGTCTTCTCGCCACGATTACAGATTGTCCAGAATTCTGCTGCTAGATTATTGGTTCTCAGAAACTGGAACATATTACTCAGATTTTGTCATCTTTACATTGGTTACCGGTCCGTTATAGGATTGATTTTTTTTTAAATTGCGGTTTGTTTTTAAATCTTTAAACGGCCTTGCACCATCTTATCTCTCTGATTTGTTACAACCTTACTCACAAATGGCCCGGTCCCCCCACAGTTTACGACACCATCAAGATCACTCAGGTCCTCTGACCAGAAACTCCTGATTGTTCCTAGGTCGAGACGTAAACTTTGTGCGGACTGTGCTTTTGCAGTGTTGGCCCCCATAGCTTTGGAACAGTTTGCCTTTGCACATAAGACCTGCCTCCACATTGGTGTCATTTAAGACTCTTTTAAAGACTCATCTCTTCTCCCAGGCTTTTCTGCAGAATGCTGCTCAGTGATTTGTTGTTGGAACCTCATTGTTTTTTTAGCTTGAACAGATGTGTGTGTGTATTGTGTTTATTTATGTTTTATAATCTGTACAGCAAATTGGTCAACTTGTTGTTTTTAATTGTGCTTTAAAAATAAATTGCCTTGCCTTGCCTAGATTGAATTGTCATATAAAGTCAAGGGAATAAACGTAAAACAGTCAGTTTAGCTGCTTATGGTGCTCTGCAGGAGCAGGCAGAGTGAACAATGAAAAACAGAAATGCAGTGAAATGTTATTGATCACTGTATTAAAACTAGTGCTGTCAAACGATTAATCACATTTAAAATAAAAGTGTTTGTTTACATAATATATGTGTGTGTACTATGTTTATTATGTATATATAAATACACACACATGCATGTATATATTGAAGAAAAATGTTTTGTTTATATATAAAATATTTATGAATATATATATATATATATATATATATATATGTGTGTGTATATATACATTTAAACATTTTTAAAATATATACATGTATGAGTATTGAGTACATGTACAGTAAATGAACATACTTTCCAGAAGGCCAACTATTCACTAAAAATGTTTTTTTTATTGAAGTATGAAGTTCTTATGAAGTATTCTAATTTGTTGAGATAGTGAATTGGTGGGTTTTTGTTAAATGTGAGCCAAAATCATCACAATTAAAAGAACCAAAGAGTTAAACTACTTCAGTCTGTGTGCATTGAATTTATTTAATACACGAGTTTCACAATTTGAGTTGAATTACTGAAATAAATGAACTTTTCCACGACATTCTAATTTATTGAGATGCACCTGTATATATACATAATAAATATACACAGCACACACACATATATTATTAACAAACACTTTCATTTTGGATGTGATTAATCGTGATTAATTTTTTGACAGCACTAATTAAAACATAATTAAACAAATTATCATGTTTCTCTGGAATACATGGTTCTGATTGGTTACACTCCATTTAGACCAGGGGTGTCAAACTCAATTCCTGGAGGGCCGGAGCCCTGCAGATTTTAGATTCAACCGGCCCTCCAGGAATTGAGTTTGAATGAAATTGAATTGAGGAACATCCTTTGACACCCCTGATTTAGATTCTCCGTTTAATGATTAAATGTTTCTGAAAAATGGCCGATCACCCAATATTACTTGTCCATGAATGAATTTAATTTATCTGGTGAGTAACCATGTCAGTAAAATAATAATGTACAGTCAGATGGACAATGATTAGCTGATTGTACACTATCATTTACTTGTACTGATTTATTTGTTTTCTGTACGTGTAAATGTGTGCGTTTTTTATGTGGTAGCATATGAGTCTCACAAACAACATGTAGATTAAGGTTTTTTGTTAACAAAAATCTGCCAGGTGATGGAGCTGTGGTCTAGAGGTTAGTGCACATGCTCCAACATGTTGATGTTGGCGTTACAGGTTTGAATTTGGCTCCTGTCATTTGGTGACCCCATTTCCTCCCTTTTCCCTGAGCACGTTACTTATTTTTATTCTTACTGTATTAAAAAAAGCCAAAAATTCTAATTTACTCTCCCTGTCCTGTTTGACTTGAAACACAAAAGAAGATATTTTGAAGAATGTTGTTAATAACCACAGTATGGACAAAATGTATACAATGGAAGTGAGTGGGAACCAAAACTGTTTGGTTACCAACATTTTCTTTTTTTATATATATTCCTTTGTGTTGAGCAGAAAAAAGAAATGCATACAGTATGATGGTGGATATGACAATAGAATTTTCATTATCCCTTTAAATCCATTAACTGGTTTTATTCGTGTCTTTTGATTTAATATGACTGAATTCAACAATTGTTACAAAAAAAAAAAAGGTTTAAGGTTAGATTAAGTAGAAATAGCTTTTTAAGACAACTGCAGTTTCACTTCTGCACATTGGCAGAAGGGAAATTAATGTTCATAAACCTTAAGCCGCATATTCATTATTAATGCAATGTCACTCATGTAACTCAACCAGCAAGAGGGCCTCAGCAAACTTCCATCTCAAGATTACACTAAAAAGTATTTAAATAAATACATATGAATATATTAGCATAATCAAACTCTCATCTGAAGTAAAATGCTAAAAATAAAATTGTATAATGTAATAATAAAAACAATAAATAATAAAATAAAAATAATAAAA